ATTTCTTTCATGAGACCCTATATTTGTAAGCATTAATCAACTTCTCTTTATCTCCCTCAACATGTACCCTTTCTGGCCTTTGGTAACCACCAATGTACTCTATATCTTAATGAGTTCCACTTTTTTAGCTTCCATGTATCAGTGAGAATATGTGATATTTGTCTTTCTGTGTTTGCCTTATTTATCTTAACATTAATGACCTGCAGTTCCATGCAGTTGCTGCAGATGACAGGGTTTCCTTCTTTTTTAAAGTTTAATTAGTATTCCATTGTGTATATATGCCACATTTTATTTTTATTTTACTTTTTTTTTTTTTTGAGGGGGGGAGGAAGGAAGGAAGGGAAGAAGGACGGTAGGGAGGAAGGAAGGGATGAAGGAAGGAAGGAAGGGAGGAAGCGGGGAGGGAGGGAGGGAGGGAAGGGAAGGAAGGAAATCAAGCAATGAGAGAGATATTGCTGACCTGGATCTAGAGGTTTACAAGTTGATTTCTTTTTTTTTTTGAGAGAAGGAAAGAAAAAAAAATAAGTAAAGGAGAAGAAGAAAGAGGAAGAGAAAGAGGGAGAGTAAATGGAAATATTGCTTTATTTTGAAAAAAATTGGGTATTAATAATGGCCAATCAATGTTTCATTTAAACTTATGGGTAGGTGTGATGTGGTATTGACAAGAATGTATATTTTGTGTATTTGAAGTGGGGAGCTCTATAAATATTTATTAAGTTTACTTGTTCTGGATCTGAGTTCGAGTCCTTGATATCCTTATTAATTTTCTGTCTCATTGAATCTAAGTCTCGTATCTGGGTGTTAGGATCGTTAGCTCTTGTTCTTGCATTGATCCTTTTACCACTATATCTTTGTTGCTTTAAAATCTATTTTATCCGATACGAGAATTGCAACTCCTGCTTTTTATTTATTTATTATTTATTTTTGCTCTCCATTTGGTTGGTAAATCTTTCTCCATCCCTTTGTTTTGAGTCTTTGTGTATCCTTGCATGTGAAACAGGTCTGGATGTAACATGCCATTGGGTTTTGGCTGTGTCTTTTGATTGGGGGATTTAGTCAGTTTAAATTTAGGATTACTGCCATTTGATGCTGACTGGCTGTTTTATCCATTCGTTGGTGTAAATTCTTCTTTATGTTGGTGCTCTTTACTTTTTGGTGTATTTTTAGAAAGGCTAATACTGGTTGTTTCTTTCTGTGTGTAATGCTTCTTTCAGAAGCTCTTGTAAAGCAGGCCTGGTGGTAATAAAATCTCTGAGTTCTTGCTTGTTCATAAAAGATTTTATTTTTCCTTCAGTTGTGAAGCTTAGTTTGGCTGGATATGAAATTCTGGGCTGGAAGTTCTGTTCTTTGAGGATGTTGAATATTGGCCCCCACTCTCTTCTGGCTTGTAGAGTTTCTGCTGAGAGATCTGCTGTAAGTCTGATAGGTTTGCCTTTGTGGGTAACCTGACCTTTCTCTCTGGCTGCCCTTAGTATTTTCTCCTTCGTTTCAACCCTGGTGAATCTAAGGATTATGTGCCTTGGGGTTGCTCTTCTTGAGGAATATCTTTGTGGTGTTCTCTGTATTACCTGGGGTTGAATGTTGACCTGCTTTGCTAGTTTAGGAAAATTTTCCTGAATAATATCCTGAAGGGTATTTTCCAGCTTGGATTCATTCTCTCCGTCGCATTCAGGTACACCTATCAAACGTAAATTTGGTCTTTTCACATAGTCCCACATTTCTTGGAGACTTTGCTCATTCCTTTTTATGCTTTTTTCTCTAATCTTTTCTTCACGTTTTATTTCATTAAGTTGGACTTTGACCTCTGATATCCCTTCTTCTGCTTGAACAATTCGAGTGTTTAAACCTGTGCATACTTCTCGGAGTTCCTGTATTGTATTCTTCATTTCCATTAATTCACTCATACTCCTCTCTAAGTTGTCTATTCTCAATAGGATTTCATCAAACCTTTTTTCAAAGTTCCTAGTTTCTTTACGTTGGGCTACAACATGTTCTTTTAACTCACCGAAGTTTGTTATTATCCATTCCTTGAAGAGTAATTCTGTCATCAGGATGTGCTCGTTCTCCATCAAGCCTTGTTCCACTGTTGATGTGGAACTGTGATCATCTTTAGAGGGAGAGGAGTTCTGACTTTGAGTATTCTCAGCTTTTTTACGCTGGTTTCTTCCCATCATTGTAAATTTATCCTCCTGTCGTCTTTGAAATTACCAACTTTCAGATTAGGTCTCTTGAGTGGACGTCCAGGTTGTTAGTTCCCAGGGCCAGAGCAGCGGCGTTAAAACTGATGGTGCTTTTCTGCCCAGGATTCTCCTGTCAGGCTTCCTTCTTGTGTCCGTAGTAGGCGACTCTGCCTTCCTGGGGCTCCAAACCTCGGTCAGAAGGGGAACCGGTCCTGTTTACTCTGCGCCGAGCGCTGCCTCGCCAAGGTGCCATCACAGCCGCTGCTCCGGGCTCTGGTGTTGTGCTGGGGGCCCGTGTGGGTCCTCCGAACCTGTTTACTCTGCTCCGAGAGCTGCGGCACCAAGGTGCTGGCGGAACTGCTGCGCCGGTCACGAAAGTCGCGCTGGCGACCTGTGTGATTCCTCCACTGGGGGATCTTCTGCTCCGTGAGCGACCAGAATTTGTCTGGAAGTGTGGCGTCCTCTAGTTCTCCGCGTCTTCCCTGAGAGCTGCAATCCTGAGATGTTAGCGATCGGCCATCTTGGATCGTTCCCTATTTTTATTTTACTTTAATTTCTGAGGTACATGTGCAGATCTTGCAGGATTGTTACATAGGCATACACATGTCATGGTAATTTGCTGCCTCCATCACCCCATCACCCACATTATTAGGTATTTCTCCTAATGTTATCCCCCTCAACCTCCCCACCCACTGCTGTCCCTCCCCTAGCCCCCCACCTCGTAACAGACCCCAGTGTGTGATGTTCCCCTCCCTGTGTCCATTTTTTCTTATTGTTCAACACCCACTTGAGTAAGAACAGGCAGTGTTTGGTTTTCTGTTCTTGTGTCAGTTTGCTGAGAATGATGGTTTCCAGATTCATCCATGTTCCTGCAAAGGACATGAACTCATCCTTTTTTATGGCTGCATAGTATATGTGTATATGTGTATAGTATATGTATATATCCATGGCATATATGTGCCACATTTTCTTTATCCAGTCTATCCTTGATGGGCATTTGGGTTGGTTCCAAGTCTTTGTTATTGTAAACACTGCCACAATGAACATATGTGTACATGTGTCTTTATAATAGAACGATGTATAATCCTTTGGGTATATACCCAGTAATGGGATTGCTGGGACAAATGGTATTTCTATTTCTAGATCCTTAAGGAATTGCCACACTGTCTTCCATAATGGTTGAACTAATTTACACTCCCACCAACAGTGTGAAAGTGTTCCCATTTCTGTTCCCTCTTCAGCATCTGTTGTCTCCAGATTTTTTAATGATCACCATTCTAACTGGTGTGAAATGGTATCTAAATGTGGTTTTGATTTGCATTTCTCTAATGATCAGTGATGATGAGCATTTTTTCATATGTTTGTTGGCCACATTAATGTCTTCTTTTGAAAAGTGTCTGTTCATATCCCTCACCCACTTTTTGATGGGTTTGTTTGCCTTTTTCTTGTATATTTGTTTTAGTTATTTGTAGATTCTGAATATTAGCCCTTTGTCAGATGGGTAGCTTGCAAAAATTTTTTCCCATTCCATCGGTTTGCCGGTTCACTCTAATGATTGTTTCTTTTGCTGTGCAGAAGCTCTTAAGTTTAATTAGATCCCATTTATCTATTTTGGCTTTTGTTGCCATTGCTTTTCGTGATTTAATCATGAAGTCCTTGCCTATGCTTATGTCCTGAGTGGTATTGCCTAGGTTTTCTTCTAGGGTTTTTATGGTGTTAGGTCTTATGTTTAAATCTTTAATCCATCTGGAGTTAATTTTTGTATAACGTATATGGAAGGGGTCCAGTTTCAGCTTTCTGCACATGGCTAGCCAGTTTTCCCAACACCATTTATTAAACAGGGAATTCTTTCCCCATTGCTTGTATTTGTCAGGTTTGTCAAAGATCAGATAGTTGTAGTTATGTGGCATTACTTCCAAGGCCTCTGTTCTGTTCCATTGGTCTATATCTCTGTTTTGGTACCAGCACCATGCTGTTTTGATTACTATAGCCTTGTAGTATAGTTTGAAGTCGGGTAGTGTGATACCTCCAGCTTTGTTCTTTTTGCTTAGGATTATCTTGGCTATGTGGGCTCTTTTTTGGTTCCATATGAAGTTTAAGGTGTTTTTTTCCAGTTCTGTGAAGAAGGGGATAGCAGTGAATCTATCAATTACTTCAAGCAGTATGGCCATTTTCATGATATTGATTCTTCCTAACCATGAGCATGGAATGTTTTTCCATCTGTGTCCTCTCTTATTTCCTTGAGCAGTGGTTTGCAGTTCTCCTTGAAGAGCTCCTTCACGTCCTTTGTTAATTGTATTCCTAGGTATCTTATTCTCTTTGCAGCAATTGTGAATGGGAGTTTGCTCATGATTTGGCTCTCTGTTTGTTATTGGTGTATAGGAATGCTTGTGGTTTTTGCACATTGATTTTGTAACCTGAGACTATACACCACATTTTCTTCATCCATTCATCCACTGATGGATTCATCACATTTTCTTCATCCATTCATCCACTGCTTGGGTTGATTCATATCTTGGTTATTGTGATTAATGCTGTGGTCAACATGGTGAGTGCAGATATTTCCTTGACACACTGATTTCATTTTCTTTAGATATATACCCAGCAGTGGGATTGCTGGGTCATATGGTAGTTCTATTTTTAATTTTTTGAGGACTCTCCATACTGTTTTCCATAATGGTGTGCTAATTTAAATTCCCACCAACAGTGTATAAAAATTACTACTGGTGAGGATGTAGAGAAGAGGGTACTTCTGGGCATTTTTCTTCTATTGAGACTAACGTTGCAACTCTTAGCATATGTTTTTTTATACTACCCTTTAGGAAGGTGAAATTGTTTAAGTGGATGAAGAAATGGCAGCTATCTTGAAGAATTAACGATTTGCTCAAGATTTTCTGATCAGACCAATTGGAGAGATGTCATCGTCTGGAGGCTGTTCTGCTTTAGAGTTAAAGGTTTGTTTGGCTTTCACTACCTCAGAGAACTATTTTATGTTATTTGTTTCTGAGACAGAGTCTCTCTCTGTCACCCAGGCTGGAGTGCAGTGGTGTGATCTTGGCTTACTGCAACCGCCTGCTGGGTTCAAGCAAGTCTCCCTGCCTCAGCCTCCCAAGTAGCTGGGATTACAGGTGTGGGCAACCACCCCCAGCTAATTTTTGTGTTTTTTAGTAGAGACAGGGTTTTGCCATGTTGGCCAGGCTGGCCTTGAACTCCTAACCTCAGGTGATCTGCCCACCTCAGTCTCTCAAAGTGCCAGGATTACAGGTATGAGCCACCATGCCTGGCCAGTATGCATGCTATCTTGAGGCACACTTCTCTTACTGGTCAAATGTTATTAGAAGATATATACCAGTTAGGGCTGGGCTCAGTGGTTCATGCCTGTAATCCCAGCACTTTGGGAGGCTGAGGCAGGTGGATCACGAGGTCAGACGTTCAAGACCAGCCTGGCCAACATGGTGAAACCCTGTCCAAAAAAAAAAAAAAAAGAGGCAAAATGGTGGCATTTAACTGGTATATAATCTTTTTCTTTTTTTTGAGACAGAGTCTCACTCTGTCACCCAGGCTGGAGTGCAGTGGCGTGATCTCAGCTCACTGCAACGTCCACCTCCCGGGTTCAAGTGATTCTCCTGCCTCAGTGTCCTTAGTAGCTGGGATACAGGCATCTGCCACTACACCTTGCTAATTTTTTGTACTTTTGTTAGAGACGGAGTTTCACTGTGTTGGCCAGGCTGGTCTCGATTGCCTGACCTCATGATCCACCTGCCTCAGCCTCCTAAAGTGCTGATTACAGGTGTGAGCCACCAACCCCCCTCCCAGCCCATTTTGCCTCTTAATTCGCATGCTTGAGCCCACTTGCCCAACTCCTAAGATCTTATCAGGAAGCTGCTGATCACCAGTTTCAGGTGTTTCTGTTTACTGAGAGACTTCCTTTCCCTGGTGCTGGCTGAGACTAACTGTGATTTTAGAGAGACAGTTAACAACCACCTGATCATCACCTAATGGTCACCCGATATTCCTGGTGGGGTCTGCCGGGGAGCCTTCTCCTGCCCTGCTCACGCCTGACTAGCTATTATACCTACTTTAACAAGCTCTCCAAAATTCAGGAACCTTTTGTGAATATTCTGATTTTATGATCACATAGTTATTTGTGTATTTTAGTAAGAGTCTTTTCTTTTGAAACAGGGTAATTGGAGACACTGGTTATTTTGCCAAGGCTTTCACTGGAATAACATTTTTAGGTAAAGTTCTAGCAAAGTCAACTTGAAAAGAGCCTACATGGCCAATCAAATTTTTGCTGGACTTTATGTGGATGATCAGGCAAAGTATAATTTGTCTTTAGTATGAAAGGAGGGGCTGGGTGCAGTAGTTCACATCTATAATCCCAGCACTTTGGGAGGCTGAGACAGGTGGGTTGCTTGAGCTCAGAAGTTTAAGACCAGCATGGGCAACATGGTGAAACCCTGTCTCCACCAAAAATCCAAAAAAATTAGCTGGGCATGGTGGCACATGCCAGTCATCCCAGCTACTCAGGAGGCTGAGATGGGAGGATTGCTTGAGCCCAAGGAGGTGGAGGGCAGTGAGCCAAGATTTCACCACTGCACTCCAGCCTGGGCAATGGAGTGAGACTCTGTCAAAAAAAAAAAGAAGGCTAGAGAGAGAAATGTTTTCAGAGGAAAAATATAACAACTGTTACTAGATTTCCAGCCTAGACTTTTGTTTTTTGAGTGCATATTGAATCATTATTTCTTGGCTACAATAACCCTCTAAAGATAAACCAGGTTATAATTTTTCTTTGTTTTTAGTTTGTGCCCTAATGGAATAGGTTCCTTTTTCTGTTTGGACACATGAATACTCTTTTGACTGTCATATTATTAGTGTTATTTATATCTCTTTGTTTTACTTCCAAAGAAACCAGAATTATGGTATTTCAAGGCTAGAGAATTCCTCATTTGGAATACCACTGGTCCTGATCTGCTCAAATTCCCTGATGCTAAAATTATATAAGCACCCTTCTCTAGGGCCCAGGGACCTATCATAGAAGAGGTAGGTGTTTGAGATTGTAATGGCCAGTTTTGAGAGAATTAGTTCAGCCCTTCCAAATCAAAAATGGGTACATTGATGTCTAAACAGCTGGCAAAATAAGGGACTCTGCCTCCTGGGTTATTACATGTGTGGCACCTTTTCATCCATCCAAACCATAAAGAATTTCCTGCTTCCTGAAGACTAAAAAGAAAATTATCACTGAGAGGATATAAAGGTACCTCATATTAAAGTCTTCTAGGTATAATACTCCAAATTATGAGATTTATGGAAATAGACATATATTTTTTTTAAAGTTTTAGAATAAATTACTGAAAGACCACAGAAAACATTGTAGCACAACAGAAGTCTCTAAATTCCTTAGCTTAAAAGGTTTTAACAATGCTTATGTTTTGTATAGCTAATTGCTGTAAGTCTGTAACTAAAATCAAGATTACAGTAGCTCAGTGCATGGAAGTTAAAGATAAGTCAGTTTTTTAACCTCACCTTTGGCTTTTTGTTTGTTGCCTTTTTTTTTTTTTTTTTTTTTTTTTTTTGAGACAAAGTCTCACTCTGTCACCCAGGGTGGACTGCAATGGCATGGTCTTGGCTCACTGCAACCTCTGCCTCCTGGGTTGAAGAGATTCTCCTGCCTCAGCCTCCCAAGTAGCTGGAACTAAAGCTGTGTGCCACCATACCCGGTTAATTTTTGTATTTTTAGTAGAGATGGGGTTTCACTATGTTAGTCAGGCTGGTCTTGAACTCCTGCCCTCAGGTGATCTGCCTGCCTCAGCCTCCCAAAGTGCTGGGATTACAGGTGTGAGCCACAGAGCCTGGCTACTCTGGCTATTTTTTTTTTTTAAAAAAGAGTTAAATGAGTTTGCTTTTACAGAAGACCATTTTCTTTCAGCATAGCTGTCCTTGTTCTCCCTCCCAGTGTGCGTGCAGTGCATGTACGGGAGGTTCTTGACCTCAGATATAAATCATAAAATTCCACATATTTGACCTGGTTTATCCCAACATAAGATCTTTCTGTTTTAATTTATTTCAGCCTGCAGATGTGCCAATGTCTTTGGGTCAGTTTCAAGTTTTTGAAATGGGAATAAAGAACATTGAAGCAAGATTTTAATAAATGAAACAGCTCTGTGACCTAGGAATATAACCTTGTGCTCTTAAGGGAGGATATTCTTATCTTTCTTTTTTTTTCAAACGGAAGACCTTTATGATAAACACTGGAGTACAGAGAGTACACATAGGTGGCGGGAAGGGTAGTATATATACTTAATGTTTGAGACCTCTTCTGCTTTTTCTTTTCTTCATCTTCTTTTTAATCCTGATAAGCAAAGTGTATTTTGCGATTAAAAGAATAACACTGTTAAAACACTGCAGCATCTGGCTGGGTGCAGTGGCTCATACCTGTAATCCCAGCACTTTGGGAGACAGAGGCAGGGGGATCACCTGAGGTCAGGAGTTCAAGAGCAGCCTGTCCAACATGGTGAAACCCCCCTCTACTAAAAATACAAAAAATTAGCCAGGTGTAGTACCTGTAATTCCAGCTTTTCGGGAGGCTGAGGCAGGAGAATCGCTTGAACCTGGAGGCGGAGGTTGCAGTGAGCCAAGACCATGCCACTGCCCTCCAGCCTGGGCAACAAAGGGAGACTCCCTCTCAAAAACAAACAAAAAAACAAAACACTGCAGCATCTGAAATGATACAGACAGGATTAGGGCTATGGACTGTCTTGTTTAATAGTAATGGTAGTAATAGCATTAACAACCATAGCAATACTATGGAGGAATTAACTTTTATTGAATAGTTTTTGTTTGTTTTTTGAAATGGAGTATTGCTCTGTCACCCAGGCTGGAGTGCAGTTGTGCAATCTTGGCTCACTGCAACCTCCACCTCCCTGGTTCAAGCGATTCTCCTGCATTGGCCTCCCGAGTAGCTGGGACTACAGCTGTGTGCCACCACACCCGGCTACTTTTTTGTATTTTTTAGTAGAGACGGGGTTTTACCATGTTAGCCAGAATGGTCTCAAACTCCAGACCTTGTGATCCGCATGCCTCGGCCTCCCAAAGTGCTGGGATTACAGGTGTGAGCCACTGCGTTCAGCCAATAATATTGAATAGTTAATATGTTTAAGGCACCGTTATCATTTAGTCCTCACAATAATCCTTATTACCTTCATTTGACAGATGGAGAAATTCAGGCTCTGAAAGATTCATTTACAAATCCAAAGTCATACAGCTAGAAAGTGGTGAATTTGAACCCACATCTGATTCTGGAGCTGACACTCTAAACCATTGTGCTGCTCAGTCTCTCCATAGTTATACTTTTCATAGACTCATAGGATGTTAGTGCAGGAAAGGACTGTTTATCTGGGTACCCCACCTTTCATTTCCTTACAGTCTTGAGATCTTTTTGAACTAGAAGAATGTGTTTGGAAGTGATATTGATACCATCGCTTCCTATTGGTAGATAGAACATTGAGTGGGAAGAAGAAGGGTATGGAAAATCATTTTTCTGGGTGAAAAAGAGGAGGGGCAAACTCTTTCTTTTTCTTTTTTCTTTTTTGAGACAGAGTCTCGCTCTGTTGCCAGGCTGGAGTGCAGTGGTGTGCTCTCGGCTCACTGCAACCTCTGCCTCCTGGGTTTAAGCGATTCTCCTGCTTCAGCCTCCCGAGTAGCTGGGACTACAGATGTGTGCCACCATGCCCAGCTAATTTTTGTATTTTTAGTAGAGATGGGGTTTCACCATGTTGGCCAGGATGGTCTCAATCTCTTGACCTCGTGATCCGCCCCCCTCAGCCTCCCAATGCTGGGATTACAGGCGTGATTTATTTATTTATTTATTTATTTATTTAGACAGAGTTTTACTTCATTGTTCAGGCTGGAGTGCAATGGTGCAATCTTCACTCACTGCAACCTTCACCTCCTGGGATCAAGCGATTCTCTTGCCTCAACCTTCCAAGTAGCTGGGATCAGAAGTGTGTGTCACCACACCCAGTTAATTTTTGCATTTTTGCTAGAGATGGGTTTTCACCATGTTGGCCAGGCTGGTCTTGAACTCCTGACATCAAGTGATCCACTTCCCTTGGCCTCCCAGAGTGCTGGGATTACAAGCATGAGCCACTGTGGGAGGCCAGGGTGAACCCTTTCAAGCAGTAGTTCCTGTATACTGAGAGGTGGAAATGCAATTAATATGAAAGCTGAGCTGTAGCAACCAGCAGAGCTGGCCTTCGTCCAGGCTTGGAGATCCCCTGCCAGATGCTCATCTCACCAGATAAAGGCAGACCTTTGCATTTTAGAAAGGTAAGCACTGAGGGACAGTGAGACCAAGGCCACCAGTAAGTCAGTCACTTCAGTAAAGGAAATGGTCCGATAGTCCGTCAGTTTCATGAATGTAGTCTGTGCCTGCCTTGTACTCCCCTCTATTTGCAATAAGTAGTAGGACTGTAAACTTATGTTTAATGAATTCATTACCAATATTTAACGTGGCAAGTTCATGCTTTTTTTTTTTTTTTTTTTTTTTTTTGAGATGGAGTCTTGTTCTATCTCCTAGGCTGGAGTGCTGCAGTGGTATGATCCCAGCTCACTGCAACCTCCACCTCCTAGGTTCAAGCGATTCTCCTGCCTCAGCCTCCCAAGTAGCTGAGACTATAGGTATGCACCACCACGCCTGGCTAATTTTTTGTATTTTTAGTAAGATGGGGTTTTGTCATATTGCCCAGGCTGGTTTCAAACTCCTGGCCTCAGGTGATCCACCTGTCTCCGCCTCCCCAAATGCCAGGATTACAGGTGTGAGCCACTGTGCCTGCTCCCATGATCTTAATTTTCTATCTTTGTGCCTGGCTTTTCTTTGGTCCCACTGGTGCTATTGTTAGAGGTATCTCATTTGGAGATGAAAGGAGGGAAAATAAATACAGCAGTCTTACCTTTTAAAAACTCCACGTATTCTCCTCTGGGATCTGTGTGGCCATTGCTGGCAATTCCATCTGAAGCATCAGCAATTGACAAATGACAGCCTTACATCTGGGACTCACTTTCCTGTTTGGTATAAATGTTTCTGGAGATCAGAATAAAGGAAGAGAATAAGTTTTAGCATTTCAGTATCTCCATTCCAAAGAGGTTTAAAAGGCATATGCAAACGATAATCCCACAAAACAAAATCAACTGAGTGAAAGTCAATGCTTGGCCCAACAGGGACCGTCTTTAAAAAGTTTTAAGTGAAGTTTACCTTGAAAGTTGTAATAATTTCATTAGAAGCCTCAGGAAGTAAGTGGCTTTATGGCAGAATGACTGATGTTACTCTCAGGACCCCATGAATTGTAAAATTTTATCTCTGTTCTATGTAAATCAACCTAAATCAAACAGAAATATTAGTGTTCGGGTACATCAGAACACCTTTAACTCGTCCTTTCATTTTGGTTTGCCTTTTGACAGGTTGTAATCACAGATCCATTTAAGCTTGCAGAGGAGTCTGACAATATGAAGTCCAGATGTGTCTCTGATGCTGCTGGAGGCTTCTGTGGCACAAAGAAAAGCTGCTAAATCCACAGCCAACCAGGGGACCACAGCAGTGATTTGCATGGTTTTTAACCTGCTTTTCCCCATGGCAGAGACCATAAGAAACAATTAATGGGGCTGGGCGCAGTGGCTCATGCCTATAATCCCAGCACTTTGGGAGGCTGAGGCAGGCAGATCACCTGAGGTCAGGAGTTTGAGACCAGCCTGGCCAACATGGTGAAATTCCATCTCTACTAAAAATACAAAAAAATTAGCTGGGCATGGTGGCGCACATCAGTAGTCCCAACTACTTGGGAGGCTGAGGCAGGAAAATCGCCTGAACCCAGGAAGTTGAGGCTAAAGTGAGTCAACATCACACCGTTGTAGTCCAACCTGGTTGGCAGAGCAAGACTGTCTCAAAAGAAAAAACAACAACAAATGGTAGAGAGCCACCATATTCCAAATTAATGAAAAAGAAATGAATTATTTTTAGGAGGTATTGATTAAAGGTTCACAGCAAATCATATGAAGACAAGTTAAGCAGACTTTTTTTCTATTTCCTAATTCAAAGTTCTGGTGCCACATAGTGGTCAAAAATGGAACAGAGAAGCTGTCTTAAGGCTTGTTCATGAAGCAGGAAAGGCATCAGAAGAATAACAGTTGACAGAGGGACTCAGGAAAAGTATCTTCCTTTTGATCTTTTGCATAGCACCTTTTGAACTTTTCACTACGTTTGCTTATTAAACAAAGCTCCTACTAATGCAATCATACTAATCATGCCAAAAGATTGCCAAATCATGTTTGGTAGGAGAACTGTTGAGGTAGTTTTCAAACAAATGCTTTTTTTTTTTTGATATGGAGTCTTGCTGCTCTGTCGCCCAGGCTGGAGTGCAGTGGCACAATCTCGGCTAACTGCAACCTCTGCCTCCCAGGTTCAAGCAATTCTCCTGCCTCAGCTTCCCGAGTAGCTGGGACTATAGGCATGTGCCACCATGCTGGGCTAATTTTTTGTATTTTAGTAGAGATGGGGTTTCACCATGTTCACCAGGATGGTCTCAATCTCCTGACCTCATGATCCGCCCGCTCCAGCCTCCCAAAGTGCTGGGATTATAGGTGTGAGCCACCGAACCTAAACAAATGCTATTTTTTTTCTTTTTTTTTTGTAATTGAATTAAGAAAACAAATGTATCATAGACATTTTTGAACCCAGTGTCTCAAGGGAATAAATGAATCATAAATATCTTTGAATCACAAATATCTCACCCTAATGACTGATGACATAGTGATTATCTATTGTAAATTATCCCAAAAGGATCAGGAATAGAGTTTGTTTTTTAAAAAGAGAGCTAAGAGATGTAAAAATGACCAGGTATGGTGGTCTCAGGTGGTCCCAGACCTGTAGTCCCAGCTACTAGAGAGGCTGAGGTAAGAGGATCGCTTGAGCCCAGGAGTTCCAGGCTGCAGTGAGCTATGATCATACCACTGCACTCTAGTTGGGTGACAGAGCAAGACCCTGTCTCTAAAAAATAATAAAAAAAATACTCTGGGCATGAAGGCTTATGCCTAATCCCAGCACTTTGGGAGGCCAAGGTGGGTGGATCACTTGAGGTCAGGAGTTTGAGACCAGCCTGGCCAACATGGTGAGATCCCATCTCTACTAAAAATTCAAAATGTAGCTGGGTGTGATGGTGTGTGCATGTAATCCCAGCTACGTGGGGGGCTGAGGCATGAGAATTGCTTGAACCCGGGAGGTGGAGGTTGCAGTGAGCCAAGATTGTGCCACTGCACTTCAGGCTGGGCAACAGAGTGAGACTCTGTCACAGAAAGAGCAAAAGAAGGAGGGAGGGAGGGGAAAGAAAGAAAGAAAGAGAGAGAGAGAGGAAAGAAAGAAAGAAAGAAAGAAAGAAAGAGAAAGAAAAAGAAAAGGAAGGAGAAAGGAAGGAAGGAAAGAGTAAAAATGGTAGGTTTTCTTTTTCTTTATAAGGTGTCCTGGTTAAACTTTTAGCAAAGTGATAGATTTAGTTTTTCAATAGTTAAATAATAATATGAAGAACATTAAAGAAAGGTTCAAGGATGGTAAATAACTTGAATTCCGTCTGTACTTGAAGACTTTATTGGAGGACACAGAAAGTTATAAGTCATGGTCCTTATCATCAGGAACTGGATAATTTAGTTTTTAAATAATAAGCTTCAGGGTGGGCGTGGTGGCTCACACCTGTAATCCCAGCACATTGGGAGACCAAGCCAGGTAGATTACTTGAGCTCAGGAGTTCAAGACCAGTCTGACCAATATGGTGAAAACTCATCTCTACTAAAAATACAAAAATTATCCAAGCACAGTGATGGGCGCCTTTAATCTCAGCTACTTGGGAGGCTGAAGCACAAGAATTGCTTGAACCTGGGGGGTAGAGGTTGCAGTGACCAGAGATCATGCCACTGCACTCCAGGCTGGGCGATGGAGGGAGACTCCATCTCAAAAATAAAAGATAAAGAAAGAATAAAGAAATAGCCTTCAGCCAGTCAAGAGTTTTGATACGAGATCAACCAGTTGCCTTGGACTCCGTACAAAAAGGACCAGGGGCATGGCATTGTCCAGGGGATTTTGGATGAGGAGTCTGAGAATTTTAAGGCATGTAAAACATTGGAACGGATTCTATAGGATAGACTTCTGTTTTAAGAAAGTTGTTTAAAATGGAGAAATTCTTAGATTTCTGAGTAGGTTCAGCTATAGAGCCTAATGTACTATTACAGACAGAGGAAAGAACTAGGTAGTTATTTTCTAAGCCCTATTCACCTCTGTGACCTTGATTTTAAACATGCTTGCTTGGTTCTAGAGTTCCGTGTCTACCTAGTCGTGACCTACTTTAATGTGAAAATGGTACATTACATGTACATTAAATGGTACAGTTACAATGGTACAGCTGGGATAAGCATACTTTGCTCTTCATGAGCACAAGATGGCCCTGCTCGAGAGGAATTGATTGAAAGGTGTTCTGTTGTCTGGGTGTGGTGGCTCATGCCTGTAATCCCAGCACTTTGGGAGGCCGAGGTAAGTGGATCACTTGAGGCAAGGAGTTCAAGGCCAGCCTGGCCAACATGGCAGAACCCTGTCTACTAAAAATACAAAAATTAGCCAGGCGTGGTGGCCAAGGCCTATAATCTCAGCTCCTGGGTGGCTGAGGCACAAGAATTGCTTGAACCCAGGAGGTGGAGTGAGCCAAGATCACAACATTACACTCCAATCTGGGTGGCAGAGCAAGACTCTGTCTCAGAAAAAACAAGGGGGGGGGTTGTTTATTTGGTTTATTAGGCTTTTCGGCATTTAGAAGAGGGTATTAAGTTTTTACTTGTCATTCTGAACTCTCAGTTCCCCAAAAAGATGTTGAGTAATGAGATTGGGCTGGGCAACTTTGCAAGACCCCATCTCTAAAAAACAAAATTTTTATTTATTTATTTTTTAAAGATGGAGTCTTGCTTGCTCTGTCACCCAGCCTGGAGTGCAGTGGCATGATCTCAGCTCACTGCAACCTCCACCTCCCAGGTTCAAGTGATTCTCCTGCCTCAGCCTCCTGAGTAGCTGAGATTACAGGCACGCACCACCATACCTGGGTAATTTTTGTATTTTTAGTAGAGATGGGGCTTCACCATGTTGGCCAGGGTGGTCTCAAACTCCTGACCTCATGATCCACCTACCTTGGCCTCCCAAAGTTCTGGGATTACAGGTGTGAGTCACTGTGCCCAGCCTAAAAAATAAAAATTAAAAAAAAAATTATGGAAGCCTGCAGAAGCTTTTCAGCTTACCAACTCAGGGAGGCCCAGCAGTAGCCTCAACAGGCTCCCCACCCCCACGTCCAGCCATGCATAGCTTAAAAAATAACTTTGTGCCAAGACAGCCCCAGAGCCTGCTCCTCCTATTGATTCCCAGCCTTTACTTGGATGGCTCCAAGGAAGCATCTGAGGTAGTCACTCATTCTGTCATGTTAAGATGGAAATTATATTAAATGAGTCTGGCAAGGCATGGGAACCTGTCTATCCTTTGTTTCATTCATTCACTAAATAGTTATTATCCTCCTGTGTACCAGGCACTGTCCTAGGCACTGGTTGCTAAAATGGAATATGATGAATCCCATGGGCCAAGGGGACAGACACTGCTGAATGTGTTTTCTCAACTTTGTTGGTACCTGTCCTGACTTCTGTGATTTGCCAAATTTCTTCAACCAGGCACCACAATTTGGGTCCAAACAAAGGCTCTTTTGTAGACGCTGCCCCAAGAATCAGTAGAGGGAGATTGCACTAGGTTAAACATGAACTCTTTTTGAGGTTACAGTGAGCTATGATCGTGCTACTGCACTCCAGCCTGGGGGACAGAGCAAGACCTTGTCTCTCAAAAAAAAAAATTATTTTGCAAATATGAAGCTGGAATTATACAATCCTAACAATAACCTATGATGAGCTTTACTGCTTCATTCTAGTTCAACCGCTGACTTTGCAATTCCTGAAAGCATAACTCCCACTGATGTTAATGGGAGTGTTAGGTGACTGTAAGTTTTGGACTTAATTTCCTCCTGCTGTGTAAGCCTTGCTTGTCTTGGACACAGAACCGTAACAGTTCCCTTCCCCAGTGGGAACGTGGTGGCCCCACCTTCCATGTAGCAGGGCCATGCTCCAGTGCAGTGCTCCAGGTGAAGGGAAGATCAGGTTAGAACCAAAATGTTCTGCCCTAATAATACTTCATTGCCTCATATAGTAACACGATGCCTCATAATACATTCATTGTCCAGAAGCCAAAGAAAGTAAAAATGTAGACTGGCCAGTCAATGATGTTCTAGACACACTGTAGGCCAGACTTGGGTCTGGTAACTTTTTCTTTTTTTTAGAAATGGGGTCTTGCTAGCTTGTCCAGGCGGGACTTGAACTTCTGGGCTCAAGTGATCTTCCCACCTCAGCCTCCCAGGTAGCTGGGGCTGTAGCCGCATGCCAGTGAGCTTATTGCTGACTTTTAAACTAGGCTGAAAGCCACTAACCTTTTTCTCATTGGTGGAGTGAAACCAATGCAGGACACAGCAAGCAGGTATTCTTTCAGTCCTGGCTTTTGCTGAACTAGTTATTTGGCCATAGGAACGTCATTTCTCCACTTTGGGATTCACTTTTCCTGTCTGTCAAATGAAGGCATTGAACTTGGAAGACTCTCAAGTTCCCTTCCAGATGTAGAAACAGATTTATGGGTCCAGATTCTATAGAGGTCACAGTGTATTTTACAATCAGTTGCTTATATTTATAAATCAGAAAATTCTGTATAAAATGTGAATTTGGGCTGGGCATGGTGGCTCATGCCTGTAATCCCAGCACTTTGGGAGGCCGAGGTGGGCAGATCACCTGAGGTCAGGAGTTCGAAACCAGCCTGGCCAACGTGGTGAAATCCCGTCTCTACTAAAAATACAAAAATTAGCCATGTGTGGTGGTGCAGACCTATAGTCCCAGCTACTTTGGAGGCTGAGGCAGGAGAATCACTTGAACCCGGGAGGCGTAGGTTGCAGTGAGCTGAGATCATGCCACTGCATTCCAGCTTGGATGACAGAGCAAGACTCCATCTCAAAAAAAAAAGCATATATATATATATATATATATATATGTATATACACATATGTATATACATATATATATAGAGAGAGATGGAATGGAGTCTTGGAGTTACATTTATATATATATATACAAATATATATATATATAATATATGTTTGGGGGTTCTTGAAAAATTGAAAATGCTGGCAACAGCAGCCCTACACATCTGCACAGTTGTGATGGCCATAGCTGAGTAATGGGTTCCCCTTCAGACATGGCGTGCCCCTTTAGACAGTTTGCCACCATCCCCACCTCAAGTCAACTTCACTTACCCCTGTAGGCCTTTGAGTTTATGGTCCTTTTCAAGGGATTAGCATTAGTACAGTTTCATTAATGTTACAAGTGAGGTTTTTTTCCGTCATAGCTCAGATGATGGAAGTCAGCTCAGATGATGGAAATCTATGACACTAACATATATTTAATTCATTACAAGGAGTAGCCAAGAGGGGCACATGGAGCTTTGCAGGGATGCTCACAGGAGGACACCAGAGACTGCCAGAGCTGCTTATGGTAATGTGACCTACAACTCAGAGCCTAATTGTGTCAGGTGAAGTGGCCTGGACAGTTTACTCTCTGTTCTCAAGAGTTAACAAGCTCCCATCACATAACTTTCTTTGTGAATATTAAATGAGCCTACTCTGGAAAGCAAATGTCAGGTTGCCAGGGAGGAAAGGTTTGCACAGCAAGTGCAGAATGATTTGTGTGACTTCTAGGCTTTGTAGTTAATCTTTTATTAACTGTCCTTATTTTCTTTTTAAAATTAACCTTATTATTCCTTTCAACTGCATCTAACTAAGGAAGTGCTGCAAGGAGGTATTTTTATTTTTGCTTTTAAATAATGTAGCAGGAGCCCAGGAAGCCAGTGCAACCCTTTAAAGATGGTGACTTTTCCTGGTTAGGAGGAGGATTCATTGCTTTGTGCGGCATAAAAACCAGCCAAATATCCCACATTGTTTCTTTATTAAACTCCTTTATGCCTCCCTCACATGCTGATTTTTCTAATTTTCCAGAAACCTGAGGCTGAGTATATTCAAATGGTTTAAATAATGGGATCGCTTTTTTTTTGAGACAGGGTCTTGCTCTGTCACCAAGGCTGGAGTGCAGTGGTGCGATCTGGCTCACTACCACCTCTGCCTCTTGGGCTCAAGTGATCCTCCCACTTCAGCCTTCAGAATAGCAAGGATTACAGGCATGCACCACCATCACAGAGCTAATTTTTGTATTTTTTGTAGAGATGTGGTCTTCCTTGTCTTGAACTCCTGGGCTCAAGTGATCCACCTGCCTCGGCCTCCCAAAGTGCAGGAATTACAGGCATGTGCCACTATACCTGCTGGGATCACATTCTAATAAATGTTAGAACAAAGGCCAGAATTTGTCCTATACCATTGTATTAACAATTTGCCCTTGCTTCCCTTTAGAGAATTCCTAAATTTAAACATATAGCAACTAAAAAGGAAAATGATTACTATAAAAGTAGGGATAGTGGTCAGGAGCGGTGGCTCACAGCTATAAACCCAGCACTTAGGGAGATTGAGGCAGGCAGATCATTTGAGGTTAGGAGTTCGAGACCAGCCTGGCCAACATCGTGAAACACTATCTCTACTTAAAATACAAAAATTAGCTGGGTGTAGTGGTGCACCTATAATTCCAGCTGCTCAGGAGATTGAGGTGGGAGAATTGCTTGAACCTGGGAGGTAGAGGTTGCAGTGAGCTATCTCACTGCTGCCCTCCAGCCTGGGCAACAGAGCAAGAATCTGTCTCAAAAATTAAAAATTAAAAAAAGTAAGGATAGCGGATACATCTGGAGTAGAGGGAGAGGGATGTAGTCTAGTGGTCTAGAAGGGATATATAGGGTTTTTCTTGACTAGGGGGTGGTCACCTTTGTCATTATAATTATCAAGTGAACATAGTCTTTGCTCGGGTCTGTCCCAGTTTAAGCCTTAAAGCAGGTTTAAAAAAATTTTTTTTTATATATGGAGTCTTGCTCTGTCACTGAGGCTGGAATGCAGTGGCGTGATCTTAGCTCACTGCAACCTCTGCCTCCTAGATTCCAGCGATTCTCCTGCCTCTGCCTCCCAAGTAGCTGGGATTACAGGTGCCTGCCACCATGCCCAGGTAATTTATATATTTTTAGTAGAGACAGGGTTTCGCCACGTTCGCCAGACTGGTCTTGAACTCCTGATCTCCGGTGATCCACCTGCCTTGGCCTTCCAAAGTGTTGGGATTATAGGCGTGAGCCACTGTGACCAGCCAGGTTAAATATCAATAGTAGCCTTTTTTCATTTTCAAAGGAGTTCTGTTTTAGATGATATATGATCAGCATACTGTACATTTATGTCTCATGCACTTTTATGTATTTATTATATGTCAAAAATATTTTTAAGTTTAAAAAAAAAAACATTATCAGGAAGTCTGACCTATGATCAGGAGTCCAGTCCAAACTGGGAAACCATGCATTTGCTCTAAGAGTCAAGATTACTACAGAGTCCACAGCAGCAGTATAACCAATCCAGGTGTGGACTTCCTTAACAGAGGCCGTGATGCCCCACCTCTGTTTCCTTTGGCTCCTGTGACATGAGATAGTTATCTTTGCTTCTTTGTCCTCTATATGGCTGGAGAAGTGGCATATCTCTTGGTTCTAACTGTGAAGGTCAATCCAAGATAATATATGAGAAAGTGTGTTGTAAACAGTTTAGGTTTTTTCTACTTTGAGTGCCAGGAGTTCCCTAAATTCCTCAGTGGGCAGGACCTCAGCATCATTGCAGTGGTACCTGTCAGGTTAATCTTCCTGTAATACAGTATTTCTACTTAAAACTTCCTATAACTCCTGGATATCTGCAGAATGAAATCTAAACTCCTAAACTTGGCATTGGCATTCAACACACTACAAACTGACACCCAACTAACTTCCCACATTAGTCCTGCTGTTCCTCTTCATAGGCTATTGAACCACATTCAACTACGTGGTGTTCCAAAAATGCTGTTCCCTTTCCAACCTCACCTCATACTTTTCTCCTCAGTAGAATGCCTTCTTCTTCTTATCTATTTTTTTTTTTTGACATGAAGTCTTGCTCTGTTGCCCAGGCTGGAGTGCAGTGGCACAATCTTGGCTCACTGCAACCTGCCACCTCCTGGGATCAAGCGATTCTGCTGCCTCAGCCTCCTGAGTAGCTGGGATTACAGGCACCCACTATTATGCCTAGTTAATTTTTGAATTTTTAGTAGAGATGGGGCTTCACCATGTTGGCCAGGCTGGTCTTGAACTCCTGACGTCAAGTCATCCACCCCCTTGGCCTCTAAAGGTGCTGGGATTGCAGGCGTGACCCACTGTGCCTAGTTTTTTTCTTAGTTTTCAATCCCTCTGGTGGGGATGGAATGTCTGTATCCCCCCAAAATTCCTAAGGTGAATTCCACAAGGTGACTATATTTAAAGATGGAACCTCTAAGGAAGTACTTAAGGTTAAAGTAGGTCATCAGGGTGGGGCTCTGATCCAATCACCTAGTGTCCTTACAAGAAGAGACACCAGAGGGCTGGCTCTCTCTCTGTTCACGCACAAGAAAGTCCATGTGAGGACAAAGTGGCTGTCTGCAAGCCAGGAAGAGGCTTCCCTGGACACTCACCCTGCTGGACCTTGATCTGGAACTTTTAGCCTCCAGAACAGTGAAATAATAAATTTCCATTGTATAAGCTAACCCGTCTGTTATGGTTTTTTAATTTTAATTTTATTTTTTATTTTTTAGAGACAGAATCTTGCTCTGTCACCCAGGCTAGAGTGCAGTGGCACGACCTCAACTCACTGCAACCTCCGCCTCCTGGTTCTAGCAATTCTCCTGCTTCAGCCTCCCAAGTAGCTGGGACTACAGGCACATGCCACCGTGTCCAGCTAATTTTTTGTATTTTAGTAGAGACGGGGTTTCAAAGTGTTGCACAGGCTGGTCTTGAACTCCTGAGCTCAGGCAATCCACCTGCCTTGGCCTCCCAAAATGTTGGGATTATAGGGGTGAACCACCATGCCCGGCCCTGTTATGGTTACTACTGAGTATCAACTTGATTGAAGGACGCAAAGTATTGTTCTTGGATGTGTCCATGAGGGTGTTGCCAAAGGAGATTAACGTTTGAGTCAATAGGCTGGGGAAGGCAGACCCACCTTAATGTGGTGGGCACAATCTGATCAGTTGCCAGGGAATATAAAGCAGGCAGAAAAATGTAAAAAGATGAAACTGGCCTAGCTTCCCACCTACATCTTTCTCTCATGCTGGATGCTTCCTACCCTCCAACACTGGACTCCAAGTTCTTCAGTTTGGAGACTTGGACTGGCTCTCCTTGCTCCTCAGTTTTGCAGACAGCCTATTGTGGGACCTTGTGATCACGAAGTTAATATATATAAAGTTCTGTCCCTCTAGGGAACCCTGACTGATACACTGTCTCTGGTATTTTATTATGGCAACCTGAGCACACTAAGACACACTTTTTAGAACAGCTGTGACACTGCATATATTTAAAACCTCTGTTCCTCAAAGTTCCTCAATTCTTCCACTTTATTTGTACTTCTTATTAAGACATTTGATGTTTAATCTTGTATTACGTAGTTATTTATGCAAACATTTGCTAACTTCCCTGCTAGTAAGTTTTTGGGGTAAATTGTAGCTCTGTAATGCCTAGTACCTGGTTTGGAAGTAATTAAATATACAGTATATTAGTTGATAAATGTATTATTTATTTATTTAAGATGGAGTCTCACTCTTTCGCCCAGGCTGGAGTGCAGTGGTGCAATCTCAGCTCACTGCAACCTCCACCCTCTGGGTTCAAGCAATTCTACTGCCTCAGCCTCCTGAATAGCTGGGATCACAAGTGCCTGCCATGGCACCCAGCTAATTTTTGTATTTTTAGTAGAGATGAGGTTTCACCATCTTGGCCAGGCTGGTCTTGAACTCCTGACCTCATGACCCACCCGCCT